TTCCCAAGTCAAAATTTTTTTAAACTTGCGATTAAAGTGAAAAGAGGGGGGGTATATAAGTCGTTTATTTTACTTGCTGATAATGTTCTTTTTCAAAGATTAATTATTGATATTTAAAGAAATACCAATTTGTGTGTGAAAGGAAAGCTACAGGTAACTAAATTTACAATGCAAAATTAATCAGGAATACCCCCCCCCCTTCTTTTTAAAAAAAAACCTTATGTTTTGTTATAGAAACTGCGTTAATTTTAACAAAATATATTCAGTACAATTATTTCATGCAATATTATTAACGAATGTTTACTTAAGTGTTAGAAAGATACATAAGACAATGATTTCTGATCAAATAAACCGCACTTTTTAAAGACATCCTCACACTAAGTCTTGTATTCTACTTGATCTAAAATGTTTTGTGTAACTGGAAACGGATTATAGAATCCCATCATGTCTATGACAGGGACTCAATCGATCAAAATATTGTTAAATATATTAAATTGGCTTCTATTATTAATAAGATAACGCTAATATTCAGTTTGAATGTAAATTAATTAGCATTTGAAAGTCATTTCCTTTTTTTCAATTCAAAAAATACGTAAAGGACAAAGATTTCACTTTTCCTTCACATTCTTGTTTGAACGAGGTATCTTGCATGATTGAATATTGCCTTTCTGCTTTATAAGCAATACAGGTTAACGCAAGTATGAAACAGAAAGAGAAAACTGATTAAAGTATTTCATCTTAAAGACTGTCCATCACTTTACAGAAACTTTTTCATGTTTCCTTCGGAAATATACATAGTGTTTTCTACAGCAAAAACATGGACTTTTGTCATTATTCAAACTAAGGGATACATATTTTGTTTACGCATTTCCTCATTTACATGTACATACTGCCAAAAATTGAACTCTGTTACTATGATCCTTTATGAGCGGGGGTATCATATTTTGTCAGCTCACTGCTTACAGTACTTAAAAGTTTTCTTTTGAAACGACGTACCAGTAAAGAAGATATGAATCAAACGGAACCTTAAAACAATCCACTAAAGCTTTTGCTGGAAAACTCATAGATTATTCTGTCATAAGAAAGTTTTTTGATATTTTTTTCTTTTGAGAAAGAGGTGTCAGTTTTGCTTCAAGAATTAATTGTCTAATATGCAATGGAGACAGAAGAAACAGTATTATATACTACTAACTTTAACCAACCACAGAAACAACGAGGGATTAATAATATTTTTTTGACTTCTGATGAAATCAAAAAGACTACTGAGTATTCAGGCAATCAGCCTTTTTTCAAAATTCAAAAATATAAAGTTTTCTGTCAGCAGATGAAAAAAGCCACGCATGACATGCATTTAATGTGAATATTGCCATTTTGCACTGTTCTAATTATTATCTACCCACCTGATTTATCTTTTTAAGGATCGGCTATCATTACCTTTACAGTGTAGCTCTTTTACAAAATTTCTACTTTTTTAGTTTTCAAATAAAAGATATTCTTGAAAAGTTAACGATAAAGATATACATGTACGTGTACATGAAAACCAATGAATAGAAATTACAGCTATAGCAAAGTATTACGTCATTATTTAAACTCTTCACCCCTAATCCAAGAATTGCAATTTTAACACCAATACGTGTTTAAAATCTTTCAAAACGCCAAAATCTCTACAATGTGACCTGTTTAATTTATGAGTAAACGCGTATTCAAAAGTTCGCCAAATTAAACGTAAATTTTCAAATCATAGACAACATTCATTGATAAAAAAAATTTGGCCTATTTAGACAGAGAAATGAATAATATTAAGACTTTAAATAATATGTTGTCTGTCCTTTGGATGAGACCGGAATACCGTACTTCAGTGTAGAGCAAGGATGACCTCTAGAAGATTTTTTTTTTTACTAAAAAGCTTTTAAAACAGGGTCGAACAATTTCTTTATAATAAAATAATGAATCAGATGTAAAAGGCTTAATAAAAACATAATATTTAAAAAAAAATGCGAAATTAATGTTCATATTCCGTTTTCTTAGGTGGGTGAGTGGGGGGGGGGTAGGGGTGATGGGTGTTGTTGTTCTTGTTTTTTATTTTTCTTTACTTTGTGTACTAAATATTAAGTGATTGTACGTAAAGAATAACGTGCATTAGCATTTTAAAAACCTTTTAAGTTTGAATAAAATACTATAAGACAAACCTTTCATTTTACAGACAGACAAACGGGCATTCTTATTCAACTTTTCGTTCCATTTCCATGAAATCAATATATTCACCGAATAAATAAAATTCCTATACAAATATACATTATTTTCACGAAATCCTTGAACTTTTCTTTATATATACAATATTATGGTCAGATTTCATTCATTGATCTTTGATCTTCTTTTATTTTAAATTTTGACCATAGAATTTTCTACGACCAGTCAAAAATTATTGCTTGATAATATATCTGACCAAAAAAGTACAAATCAGCCGTAGGGTAGGGTGGTACATTAAAGTCAAATTTTTGATGATCTTGTCACTCCACTATTAGAAGGTATACATGTAAAAAAAATATTATACATGCTTGTTAAGGATATCCGATCCTCAGCAAGGAAGGATAACTCCAAAAATTGTTATTTAAACTAAAAGACATCAAATTGAAGCCTGAAAATGAATTTTTTTCATGCAACAATTTTCATTTCATTCATCTTTATTAGATTCAAAGATTTTTGGAAGTCTAAGAAAAGAACTTATAAAAGTTTTAAATTGTACCCTATATAAGGAAAAAATAATAATGCAATTTTAGAGAATAAGATTTTCATGAATCTAGCATTAGGTACTAATGTTTATTAGCATGAAAAGTGTTTTGTGCTGTCTTGCAATGATATCAAGAGCCTTTTACACTATATATTATAGAATACATGACGGAAATAGAAGGAAAAAAATACCAAAATACGTATAAAAATCATGACAGTTTCTATGAATGCCTGGATACCTATCGTTTTTAACCCAAGATATAGTTGTCGATCAATTTGCGATTAGAAAATGCATTGCTGATATTCTAATTCGCTTTATTGGAGATTTGACATTTTTCCCTATATAATATATGATTAACTTTGATCTTTAACTTTTAAGAAATATTGTAGAATAATTTACATATCTTTGTGGATTCAAAAATACTTTTTGAGCATTTTTGATTACTTAACTGCTAATTTTTATAAACCTGAGGATCGGACTACCTTAATTAGTAAATAATGGTCATATTGGCGATGTACTCAATATTTTATTTGTTCATTTAACTTCCCCATTGATAATTTACTGCTCATATTGAGACGCTTTTTATACTCGGCACTCAGGGGCATTCAGCAGCAAGGAATCATTTGCGTGCCAGTTTTATCCAGTCATCACGACACGAGTTGAGATTCGCAGAAAATTCTATTCTTTGAAAATAAAATATATCCAGAAATTTTATCATTGTACATGTACATGTAGCATTACATACTTGCTTGTAAACAAGGTAAAATTGCAACGAAAATAGAGTAAATTCATTCAGTTACACCAATCTGACTGGAAAATATATTGGAAAAAATTCGCTCTAAAGCATTGCTGTGGTAACAGTTTCTGATAATGAGAGATGGATGTTTATTTTGGTTACTAGGCACCCCCCTAAAAAAGCTGATTCCACTTCTGGTGTTTTCAGGGGTCCAGTGTTTTCCAGATTTAAGGAACATTTTTTTTTAATCTGATCTATGAAATATACATCTATTAATCATGTTAATATTTCTTTTCTTCACCTTATAAATTGAAGTATTTCGACTTTGCTCTGAAATCTATGAAAATAAACAGTTCGTGTCTTTGTACTTGCAAATACATCCTAAAACATCGTGTCATCTCTATAAACCTTAAGTACATGTATGTTAATTAATTTTCATGAACTTCATTATAATTAACGTCTATGAGTAACCTTATATCTATCTTTGACGATCTTACTGATAATCTAAAAAAAAGATTTTTTTTTAGTTTGATTAACGTACTTGGTATAATGAGACTTGATAAAAATCATGCAGCAGCACAAATGTTTATTTGTTATTAACAGAAGGGTATGGTGTTTATGCTTGTAAGAAAACAGATTTCGTGAGAGTCTCTTTAAATTTTATCTGTGGTATAACGAGCACTCGAAGGATGTGACCGGTTAGCAGGGGATGTTCACTCCTCCATGGCACCTGATCCAACTTTTGATGATTTGGATGTCCATATTTGCTCTGCTCCTATTTTTTTAATTAATTGTTTTATGAACTTTGAAATTGAATACTGTTCGTTATCTCTATATCCTTCATACATCCATTTCATATTTGGATATTTTACCTGAAAAGGACATTAGTGGTAATCTAACAACCAATCTTTATGATAGACGTGACGACTTTTACTATTCAAACTTATGCAGCAATATATCATCATCACCTGTATATAGAGTGTATATATCTCAGTTGATTCGATACACAAGAGCATGACCTAAGTAGGAACAATTTCTAAAACGAGGTAAATTATTGACAAGAAAGTTGATGAAACAAGAATATCAGCAGTCTCGTTTCAAGTCATCATTTTGCGAGTCCTATAGTTGATATGTTCTTGTCAACAAATACAATTTATCACTAAGTCAAATGCTGACTGACGTTTTTCATATTATTTGTTAGACTATTACTAAGTATTTACACACTGAATTGTCTTCAAATTACCCCTTATTTCCCGATAATGACAAGATGCTCACGTCGGATGTGACCGATATGCAGGGGATGCTCACTCCTCCATGGCACCTGATCGCGCCTCTGATGTTAAAGAGGTCGGTAATTGCCCATCTTCTGATTTGAATTTATTAATGGAATTTTTAGCTTAAAAGCTGATCGTTATCATATCAATGGGGTTGACATATATTCAGTTATTCTCGTTAAGTGGTTCAGAAAATGTTCAATCCCACAGATGGAGTAGGAAATCAGAGAATTATAAGATGAAAAGAAAACTTAAGAAATTATTCTGTGGAATCACTGTTTTATTCATTCAGGATTTTGTTCTTATCATCATCCTTGATGTTTTCATATTTTCTCGCGATGTTCCCCAGTGTAAATGGAACTTGGAGCTTATTTGTTTGTGTGTGTATCGTCCATTTAGATCAGAGTAAGCACAGCTGTTGTACCACCAAGCACCATGCTTATGTTTTGATGCACAATTACTACCATTATTATCATTATCCTTGTCCTTGGTTGTGAAGGCCATTCCATTTAAGTTGTGGCTACCAATTATATAATCTCCTTTAAGTTAATGAAAAAATTCATCAATTTAGAACTTTAATACTCTATGTAGACTGCATAACCTTAAGTTATATAAGGTTATGAATATTAAACAACTAGAAATATTGGCAATATTGGACATTTTTCGTTCGTGACAAGTCCTTTCATAGATAGAGTCTAAAAAGTATAATTATTATAATACAAAGTTACAAAGAAAACACCAAGTTTTAAGTTGTGCAGTCCAAGGAAAACTCTATATGTCTTTATCAATATAATTTATTTTTTCTTTATCTCAACGTATTCTATGTCAGATTTTGATATATTATACGAGGGGTGTTAGAAAAGTTCGCGAACAAGTTCTTTTGTGAGCGCGCTATTTTCCACGAAACCGGTAAAACTTTCCGGATAAAATTTTAACCTATTTTCCGATAAATATACAAAAAATTGGTGCTCTCCAGTGATCATTGTAAAATATACAGCTCTTTTATTTTGATAAAACTTGCTTCTCGGAGCATGCTACATTTTGGAACGTTTACATCACAAACACTCTTTAATAGAATTAAAAATTTTATAATTGTAGCGAAAAGAGCTTTATGATATTTTACCTGTCGCTATTTAAAGTATTCATGAAACGTAACTGGGAGAAATTTGAATAAAATTGGAGGGTATATGACTGTTTTACAGCCATTTCAAAATAAACAACGCGTAAAAACACAGCCAAAAATCGGAACGTCATCAAGCGTCATGGAGCACTGCACTACGTAAAAATTATGTGTGCAGACAGGAAAATGTCTAAATAAAAAAAGATTAAAATGTTTAAGATGCTGCCGGGAATTTCCTACACATACAAAGGACAAAGTTTTCAAATTGATGTTTATTCATAAAAATGGAAGAATTAAATTTTGAATAATTAATTCCATTGATACTTCAATAACCCTTATCGTCTGGACGTTGTGCCTTTCTGGTTTTGCATAGTTTCCATTCCAGACTGCATAGGCTTTTTTTAAAGATCTCAATAATATCCGAATCAGTACAATCCAAATACGTACAAAAGACATTATAGTAGAAAAGTTACATGTCTTGATAAAGATATTCAATTTTAAAGTAGAAAAAAGATAACAAAAATCTTAAGAAATGAAAGATTTATAGAACTGGACAAAGCTTAACGGGTTGAAATTGGTTGTCACGTCGCCTTACGTCAAGTGATTGCTTCGTGAATCCCATGACCTAATAGTAAAAATCGATGTAATTTTTTAAGATATAAGTAAATGGAACTGATTTTTTACATACTAATGAACAAAATGTAGGAATTTATTCAGACATAGGTCATACTTCACAGTACACAATAGATTTTCCGTTATTAAATGTGTCCGCGAACATTTCTAACAACCCTCGTAGTGTTCTGAAATATAAGTACATTTGACGGGGGAAAAAATCCGTACTTTTTTATCAATTATTTGGTCTTAATTATATTTCACAAGTTGCAGGATCTAATTATTTTTAAGATGAAGTTTCGGGAGTGTAGAGTTTCTTGCCTGCCCGTCTGTCGATCTGTCTGTTTTTCTCTGTATCTGTCTGTCTGTCTTTTTGTCTGCAAAACATTTAACCTTGCCCATAACTATTCATTTAGTGGAGCTATGACTTTCATATTCGACATGCATATACCATGTGACAAGATGTTGCTTTGGGTACCATCAAATTTTATTTTTTGATCTTGACCTTAGAATTTGACCCACTTTTACACAAATTAAAAATTCCCAACTCTTACTTTGGCCATTTCTTTTGAACAGTAGAAACCAGGACTTTTATACTTCAATATGTTTTTCTGTGTAAAAATCTTTCATTGGATACGAACAACTTTGACCTTTAAATCTTAACCTTGGAAATTGAAATTTCTGCACCTTAAAAGCTTTGGCCATGGCCATAACTTTGTAACGGTTAAGGCTAAAGCTATCATACTTCACATATGTAATTTTTTTGAAAAGACCTTTCATTGGATACCAAGAATGTTGACTCGCTGACTTTGACCTTAGAGTTTGACCTACTTTTAAAAAGCAAACGTTGACCATAACTTTAAATGGGTTAGAGCTAATACTTTCATACTTTACACATTTAATTCTTGTGACAATGCCTTTACCTTGGATTTTGACCTACTTTTTAAAATCTTAACCTTGGCCATAACTTTTGAAGGGTTAGCGCAAGGGCTTCTATACTTCACATATACATTCTTTGTGGCAAGACCTTTCATTGGATACCAATATCCTTAATCTTTTGACATAGACCTTAGAGATTTCCATACATCTAAAAACAACTGTAACCATAATCTACTTTACTATTTCACAATTGTATGTCCAGAGAGAATACCCTACTTTGGGTACCAATAAATTGCATTTAAGAAAGGTTTAATCTTCGCTATGTTGCCATACGGGGGCATCAGTGTTTCACAAATACATCTTGTTTGGATTGTAATAAAATATATTGCGTACTGATTTTATAAATTTAAATTCTGATTACCAGCTGTTCCACTGTATCCACTGATCGACAGTTTGTACTTTTTTGATTCATCACCGATAGAAAATCGGGAGTACTTTGCGTAAACCTTTGATCCTGAAAATTTTGTCATTTCTATTCGTAGCTCTTGGTCACCATTTCTAGTAAGAGCATGAATATTGTCGTTTCCTGTTTGTAAAAAAACTATACGTTTACATTCATAAGTATAAGTTTTTATTTTATCGAAAGTTGTTAGATGAGAAGAAAAATGCTTTCATTTTTTTTATTCGAAGGAAAATTTAAATTTTACTTACCAAGCCAAAATTCCTGATAAAGGTTACCAAAACCTTTCTTGTATTCATTCCAATTGCGATAAAAATTGGTTGATCCATCGTATCTATTTTGAATAACCTGTTATTCAATAAAAAAGATATTTGATTATCCTTAATTATACCCCGCTTGAAAAGCGGGAGGGTATATAGTAATCGTTAATTCCGTCCGTCTGTACGTCTGTTCGTCCGTCCGTCTGTTACGCTTTGGGGTACCCATCTCTTACTCCTCTCATACCACTGAATGAAATTTGATGCAACTTTCACAGAATCTTTATTACATATTGCCATTGTACACCTCCTATTTTACTTTTTGATCCGATTTATATTTTGGGTTTCCCGGCCACAGGAAAACATTAACTTTTTCACCAGTTATAAACATATGGGAGGCGGGGGTATCATTTAGTGAGCTCATCGCTCACAGTACCTCTAGTTTTTAAATAAACTCAATGTCATATTTTGTAAATCATATTGCTTTTAAATAAATTAACAGACCTTGAAGAAAAGCTTTTATCATCTGTTATATTTTGAAAAATAGGAAAATACCATTGTTGATTTCAATGTTATTTTTCCTGTTTTCCAGATGATGATATGATTTTTAAAAAGGCCATTTTACTAGTATTTGTATATAATTCTGACAATATCTTAACTTGAAAATTCTTTATTTTCAAGAGAAAATACTCGACTTCTTCCAAACAAACTTTAGTATTTCTAACTACTTGTATTTATGACTTTTTTTGTACCGAAATGACTTAAACTTGTATGGCTATTTTATTGACTAAATTACATAGGAAACTTATGACACCATGTAACACATTTCCATCATTTCCTTTTCTCTAATAAGATCTGACTGTATAAGTTTTTAATTCTAAAACCATCTTGACATTTGTCGGGAAGAAAATAAATATACTCATAATATGGCAGACATTTATCTCTATTGAAATGTTCTAGTAAGCAAAGTTACTAAGTATAATTACCGTCCAGCCCCCTCCATCGGTGGTCATGTCACAGTAAACCCGGACTGGATTTTTGTTGTCAGGATAAACGGTATATATTCCGTCCTTACTTTTGGTAGATGGTTTCCTGCCCAAAATATCAGCACAGTTTTTCCCGGTCACTGAAACCATTACATCACAGAATTTGACACATATGTCACTTTAGAATATAAAAAATGAACAATGATAAATACTCAAAAACTATTATTGAACTATAGATAGAAAAGGACTTGGTTTTCTATGCCATCGAACCTGAGGCCCCAAAAACATAAACTGAGAACAGACTTTAAAGTAAGTCAAATTTCAATTTTTAGTATCTTCAGAGTCCCATTAGAAAAGATTTCAACTTAGCAAAATACTTCAATTCCAGCCTATGTTAATTTTTTTATTATCAAAATTATTTCGAAAGTTAAATTGATTTGAAATTTTGACTTGAGTGTGTTCTCAGTTAATGGTTTTTGGACCAGGAATGAGGTACTTGTAAAATGTAATTGTAATTCAATGTAATTATTTACATTTTTAAAAAGTAATTGGAAGTAATTTGTAATCTAACATTATTCAGTAATTTGTAATTGTAGTTTAATTAATATCATTGAAAAAGTACCTTGAAATTTCAATTTTCAAATATCAATTTAAGAAATGAATAACAAAGTGAAAAAGATCTCTGAGATACGAATTTGGTTCGTCATGTAATCAAATCAAAGGGCTTCTACATGTAAGTAAATCTGATCTTGTACCAACCAATTTTATTTCCCAGTGCACTTTTAACCATGTCATTAGTTACTGAGTACTTATATTTACATTTTAAATGAATATTCGAATAAAAATTTTACATGTACAGTCCATATTTTCATTATGTTATGACCCGTATGTACGCAGTGACCAACCAAGACGTTAAGCCATTACCGGTTGTACATCCTCGAGAGCCAGGGGTCCTGAGTCAAAACGTTGCCGTTTGACCCCTGGCATATTTCATTCAATATCCCTGGACTGGCTGTAGCGACGTCTTTCGGAAAAATTGCAAATCTTAATTGTTTTAATTATACCTCAACCAATCAGGTTTAGCCACTCTATGATAAACAATTACTAACACGTGCTTTTCTAACTGTTTTTGAATTCTTTTTATATTGGTGCTCCTGTATGAGAGAAGCAAGTACATATCGATATTCTACACATATGTGAGATCTGCTTATCACTAACTGAACTATATTTTCCAAAGCACTTGTGTAAAGAATTCCGGACACTAGAAATATATCATGAATAGATGGTGTGCGCTAATCGAATATATCAAAAATATAAAAACAAGATTAAGTTTTCCAATATTAATGACAGATTACTATAACAAGATTATTCATAATGCTATCATGAAGTTCTATATACATATCCTTAAAAGTTCTCAAATTGTAGAATTTTATCAATGTGAAGAATACAGGGAAAAACCCAAAGAAATGACACTAAAGTTTGTACTTGAATAGCCAATTCTCAACATACCTACATTTATTCCATTCAAAATTGTTCCTGCAGGAAGTTTATAATTGGATGTTATATCCAATGATATCGGAGTTTTTATCTTGGCGAATGATTTTACGTGATCCCATGGAGCAGCTTTCAAGTAATTAGATATTTGGTCTGGAAAAGGATAACATTTAGAGTAAGATCCTTCAAGTGGATGTCTTTTTTACATTGAAGTTTTTTAAAAGATTTGTGTCTTTTTTTTCTTTTTTTTTTAATTTTATTCATTATTATAATTATTGTCATACTTATTGGGGTTTGATGAAAATCATATGAAATAACTTCTTGTTTACATTTAAATTTTGTAGATGTTATAGTCTATGCTTTGACTTTGTTTGACCTTTATCTCTATATTCTTTGGTAAGCATAAGACATATTGATATAATTTTTCTGACAAAAATGAATTAAAGTTACCTTTCACTGAATGATGTGGGTGAAATCCATACACATTCCCAATCAGCAAAATAACTAAGGGATTCAGAAAATCCATTTGATAGGCTTTTTTTCTGTATCTTCTAAATTGCTGAAAAAATTATAAAACATATATCATGGAATTAGTACATATTATTATTGAAGCATTGTAATATAATTTATAAGATTTTACCTTCGTTGTGTCCACAGAGTACATAGGGACAAGCCTTGTTTTTATATTTCATGTTAATGTACCACACATCACAAAAAGCCATAGAATGTAATTCTAGAACTTAAATACCATAATGCGTGCCAGGAAAATGGAACATTGATTTAGTTTTGCACAGATTGATAGAGGTAGGCGTTGTAAAAAAGAAAAATACTATTTTGTTGCAACATTTCCATTTTAAAGACGAAGACATATTTTTTTTAATTGTAAGACATGGAAAATATTCAGTCCATTTTCTGGGTTTTTTTTGTTTAAACACTTCACAAAAGTCATGATATCTACGTCGTTAATTATCAGTAAGGTTATTTTGCAGCTATTTTTGAAGTTAAAACATAAAAAGTAATGGACATGATACGTCTTTCCCTCACTATAAAAATGTAAGATTTTCTTTTCAATTACAGCCTTATATTTCCACCAAAAGGAAGGTTTTTATCTGAATGGGTCAAATATATTACTGTAAATAACGTAGGAAATGTGTAAAAATGTTTTAAAAGTCAAAAATAAGGTAAACTAAATTTTGTAAACAGTAGGTAGTGGTGACCGTTTATCAGGACAATGTTCAAGCACAAATGAGTTTTATTACAATTGAGAAAATTAATTTATAAAGATATCTATATCCTTTTGTTAATCATTTTATAATGGGTCACAAACGTTATAATTAAAAACAATTGCAGATTTGATTATATACTACTCATACAGACTATCAAGAAAAAATGTTAAAGTTGTCAAGAGATGTCAAACAATAGACCCCCACCTCTGTACAAAATCCTAATAATAAGTCTAATACTCAATATGCAAAAAGATGTAAACGGCTTCGATCCATTAAACTAATATTACCGTACTTTTCATCTCAGTTTGACTTTTTGTCTATAAATTCCTTTTTTAAAAGTGATACTGAGATATTTTAAAATACACTCATTTAAGTTTAATGAACCTAGAGCAAATTGATTCCAAGTCTTTTTGCTGAATCTTTCGATGGAAGTAGAAAAGATTTGCCGTACATCTGTTTCCTTTTGCAAAACAAGCCCCACAAAAATGAAATCTTGATTAATTTTAACATTTTACAAAATTCTGCTATCTATCAAGAGTCCTTTCGCCCAGAACTTTACATTGTGTACAAATCTTCTAAAGATGCAATTTGAATTGATTTCATCCAAAACCTATCAAACAGGCATTACCTTTAATATAAAACGTGATGAATTTTCACTCTTTTTTTTTAAATAAAAAAGAGTTCTCCTAGATATAAGCAATAAACACAGAAAAGACATACGAAGCAACTAATAAGCTGAAATTACTCGCTTCATTACTGAAAAATCTAAGTAAACAAAAACAAGCAAGCCTAATTTAACAAAAGCAATGCTTTTTCAATAACAGTTAGCTTACCTAAATACTACCGGCTGAAGTGAAGATAAATTTCAGTAGTACATTTTTAAATGATGTTAATCAAATATGGGCACGACAAAACTCCAAAAAACATTTAGACAATTTGAAATCATCAAATTTTATCCAAATCAATTGCATAAAAACTATACAGCTTTTAACTTTTCATACAACCATTCATCACGATGTCTTAAAGACCAGGAATTTTAACACCAGTTACAACTGATATTTTATAGGAATGGAGCTCACAATCTCACCTTGTCAATAGTTATCTGCAGACAAATTTTGCCAAAAACCATTTTGCGTCTATATATACATCAGTACTTTGAAATTAGTGTTGAAAAGGTGAGAAAAGTAATAAATATCACAAACAATCTTCGGAGAGGAGACAAAGCTTTTCAACAGTCTGTTGACATTTTCGAAGAACTGTCTCAAGTAAGGAAAACACATCCAAATAGATTCATATGCTCATATCTAAACATCAATAGCTTACGTTATAAATTTGGTTCAATCTAAAGTATACTCGATCAAAACATTGTTGACATGCTAGTTACATGTATTGCTGAAACTTAACTGGATGATTTATTCCCAGATGTACAATTTAATGCAGTTAATTACTGTTTCTGGAGAAAAGATGGTATGTCAGATTTAGCCGTTGATAGAAGGAGTGATCTTGAATTTGAAAACATTAAATTTTATGTGCTGAACTTTTGATTGGAAATAGAAAATGATTAATAGCAGGTCTATATGGACCACCCTATATGTTCGACAGTGAGTTTACTCATGACTTTGTTAAAAGTTAAGACAAAATATCAATAAAATTTGAAACTACTTGTTAATTGGTGATTTAAATTATGATTTGTTATCTGATCACAAAAGTACACCATTTAGGTACTCCGATCCTCATTCAGGAAGGATGACTCTTTAATTTATAATTTAATTCAAAAAGTCTAGAAATGAAGCTTGGAAATTATATCTTTCCATGCGACAATTTTCATTTTATGCCTCTAAATGTGCTTCAAGCTTCTTTGAAGTTGTAAAATGTAGGTATTTTTTTTGCCTCATGAAAGTATTTTGGAAATAAATATTTAAAGAAATTGAGGTTCATTTTAATCTAATCATAGATAAAAATGTTTATTAACATGATATGAAATAAGAAGTGATTTGTAGTGCTTTGCAATGATAGGAAAATCTTTATACACCATGCATTGTTAAATCATCGAAGTAAATAGAAGAAATTAAAGTATATTAATTGTATAAAAATTGTGATTTTTTTTTCAAAAGGCTGCAAAACTACGATTTTTGTATCTAAAATGTGTTTGTTTATGCTAAGCGGGTGTTTTTATATGCATTTCCTAAAAAAATTATTTCGGATTTATTGATTAAATTTTCCTATACATTATAATTAACTTTAAAGATGAAGTTTGAAGAATTATCGTGGGTAAATATATATGTACATGTTACTTTGAGAATTCAGAGATATTCTGGTAACCTGGTGTGTAGGTGGACCTAAAGATAAAAATTTCTTAGTATGGACGGAGAAATTATAAAAAACCAAACAGATGTAGAATAAATTTCTAATGACTACTTTGTAAATGTTAATAAAGGTATAGGGGTAGGGAGCTGTCTGGTTGATGAAAATCATCCAAGCATTAAAGCAATTTCCGAAAATGTACATGTAGAAAATACAATGTAAAATGGAATTTAAACCTATCCAGACTGCTTTTGTTGAACAGAAAAATAATAGAATTGGTGTTCAAAAAGCAACAGGAAAAGATGGCATCTCTGTTAAAATGCTTAAACTCTCAAATCCTACTATATGTATAGCAAAACTAGGGATGTCAAATCGGTCAATTTTTAATACTCGGTTACTCGGACGTTTTTCCGATCGAGTACCCGAGTACTCGGTAAAAGTGTAAATAAATAGGAACAAGTTAATTGAAAACTGTAAAACTTTATAAACTCTTGTAGAAATAAAACCGATGGGAGGTTACCTGCAAATGCGTTGTAACAATTATGACCACTTTGTACCCGATGAAATTTAATCTAACTTTTTTTAAGTTCAATCTAATTATCAGATAAATACGACAAATAAAATCATAAATGGTTCAGAGTGTTTTTGTTTAAACAATAATCTGTTCCGTAATTGTAATGTAACTCTTTGGTGCGTTTGACGTCCAAGTGATAAGTTGTCTGAGCTACATATGTACGGTATAAACTTGATCAAGTTATCCTATAACAGAGCGGATTTATACGATCATCGTACACTTTTTGATCCTAGATTTCATAGAATTACGATACAGTATGTTGTAGTTTGGAGCAACGATGGACATAAGATTTCTAAAGCATTTGCCTTCAACCATTTGCAATAATTGGCATGTTATAAAACGTATCCATATCAACAATCGCACGTGCAATATCGTCTGTCTCTTTCCCCGGGAATTTACGGCTTCGTGGAGAATTGACAAAATTATTTAATTTATTTAAAAATAATGGACCTTAAGCAATGTTCAATGAAAACAAATAATTAAAGCAAACTAAAGATAAGGGTAGAAGACAGTTGAGGGGAGAAAAGCCAGGTAGGTACATCAGGTGTTTGGTAAGGATAATTACTACTGTATAAACACTGCCGCAGGCAAAAACGGTCATCTAGAGACGTAGGAAACCCTAATTACTGCATGTACAAGTGCAATAAACATTTTACGTTTTAAAACCGATGTTTTAATGCATTAATAAATAAGCTTAGAAATATTTAAAAATATACATCCGAGTAACCGAGTACCAATTTTAGTATTCGATACTCGGACGTTCGATCGAGTACCCGGTTAACCGGGTACTCGTTGACATCCCTAAGCAAAACCAATCATCATGCGCATTAATAAAACATTCGAACAATGTGAATTTCCCCAAAAAACTTCCAGAGGTACCACTCCATACGAAAAAGACTGATTTAGAAATAGGTACATGTAACTATAGATCTGTATACCATTTCAGCAGCAATTTCAAAGACCTTTGAGAGGGCATTATATATAGAGAATATTACATACTAAAATCCATATCATATGTCATATCAGCCCGAGTGGCCCCATATCAGCCCGAGGGCCGAAGGCCCGAGGGCTGATATGGGGCCCGAGGGCTGATGTGGCATATGATATGGATTTTAGTATGTAGTATTCTATTTATCATTTATTTAAAATACTTAATATGCGAGTTCACATATGGTCGTTGAAGAATGTTTGTGCTTGTTAGTGACATTTTCTTTAAAATTTAATAGAGCCAATTTTAGGTAACTGGAAAAAAATTAAGACCACAAATGTCATTAAAGAATTATTTTATATGAATATTTAAATAAAATCAAGTAAATTAACTTTTAAACTTAATACAAACGTTACTTCCGGTTTGATATGGATTTTCGGCCCGCCGGTCCGATACGTGATATGGCTTTTCGGACCGGTCCGTGATATGGGGTATTGTGACGT